TGAGCATGCAACCCAAAATAAGTATTGTATTATTTATAACCTTGAAGTTTTGAGGTTGGTATCGTTATTAGTTGTTATTATTATTTTAATAAAAACTAAAGAGTCTAGAAAAAATATGTAGATGTATATATTATGTTATCAATTTGCGTGATATATTAGGTTTTTGTTTTTTTTTTAAATATCAGACTTATCATATTTTATACTATGCATAAATATGACGTGTCTTTATTATTATTATTCGATTTTATGGAGGACCATTTTCAATTATAAACTTCATTCTCATCTATATAAATAAAAATGAAATGTTGTTTGTTAATAAGCGTATCATTTGAGAAGGGCTGGACCAATTTGGCTCATTTTTAATATGCGTTATAAGTTATGACCTATGAGTAATTTTCTTAGAAATCAGATACTGTAATTGTATTTATTGACCTGGGTGAAGCCGGTTACATAAGAAGCTAGTTGTATATAAAATAAGCCCGCACAAGATATAATATCGGGAGGAATGTATTTATAGCAATATAGTGTTTCATTAGTGGGTTCTTCTTACAGAGGCCGTATCGACACTGAGAGAAGTATTCAAAATTCTTGTGAAAATTATGCTTCAGGAAATGTAAGATAGTGGCTATATTAATTTGAATTAATGAGGTTATACACGTATAGCCTCATTACGCACGCTTTTGCAGGTACCTATATAATAAATGGTTTGCTATCGTCATAAAACCGATATTAAAATAAAAAAATATCTTAAAAGGCTATGTGTATATAACGCACGGACTTTTATCTCAACCAACAGTCGTTTTCCTCGGGTCCTGTAATTTTTTTTTTACTCTTTTTTTTGTTTGCCCTTTCTTCATCGTCATATGATGTTTTAGCAGAGCTCCATACCATTTATTCTGAGTAAAAAATGAAAAATCAATTTTTAAAATTGACTGTACATAAATAAAGCAAAGGCCGTCCGCAGCGCATATAGCCTTATAAAAAATTCCATTATAGGGTGATTGGAAAATATTTTTGATACGCTTGCAGTGTAAAATTAATATTAAATTATTAAAATCATAACGTGCAGCAACGACGAAGTTCACGACCTCCACATTTCCCGGTCTCGGTTTATCATTATTTCGGTGTACGATTATGAAACGATAACACATTATTATGACTAAGTTTTTAATAAACAAAATTAAGAGTGATACTTCTGAAACTTTCAAGTTGATCACCGATTAGAAGACATACAGCTCGAGATGTACGCAAAAGTATAGAAAATAATTTGTGCGTAAACCATAGTAAAAACGATAAAGTCAACGGTGGACGCGTTTTTATTGATTTTAAGCGAAACCGTGTGCAATCGTCGGCATTCTTAGCCAACACACAGGCCGCCATTTGCCGACGATTTACAATAATTATGAAAGTCTAGCGTCTAATAGTTTATACCATTATCCGATGTCCGTCATTAGTCATTGGAAATTAATATTATTTACTATTATAGTGTTGTAAGTGTAACCGTTGTCGTTTTGTTGTGGTGTATACAAATAAGTAATACAATATATAAAAATGGATTCCAACAATTTTTTTTTAAAAAGTATTCAACAGCCGGTTCATTTGGTCGATATAGTTTTAAAAAATGACTTGCTTGAAACAAAAATCAAAATCTACTAAGGATATAAAAAAAAATATTACGTAAAAAGTATACTTAGTCTAATAGTACAAAACTATTGTTTTGAATGTTTTTTTTGGACCTTTAAAGGTAAAAAATAATTTAATATACAAAACTGCAACAAGCTATAACTTTTTACAAATAGTCTCTTAGAATTTTACCAACAAATTCTTCAGATAGAGCACTATCGATTAATCTAAAAATTATTCCCCTAAGGACTTTTTTTTATTTATATTTTTTAAAGGAAAAACCAAAAAAAAAACGGGAAAATCACACTGATTAAGTTTTCTGGTTGCTACGCGTAAACAAAACAACAGTCAACAGGTCTCTGAAAAATATTTTCATTATACTGTTGCCAATTGGTAACGTCAACGAACTATTAAAAAAGACGAACAATGAACTATATATATATATGTTGTTATTTATATATATATATATATATATATATTTGAGGCTAAATGTAGTTCATATTGACGAGAAATATGTTAGCTTCTATGCAAAATTGTCATATAATTGCTAAAATTAATTTTTAAAAATAATTTAATATATATTATATTATCATACCTCCTAATATAAATCTATATATGATTTAATAAAAACGATTAATAGCTTATTTGTATTTCATTCGTTTTAAAAATGCAATTTTTTTTTTAAAATTACAGGTAGACGAAATGTTTAGGTTAAACTTGTTTGATGATAAGAAAAATAGATTACAAACATCAATGGCTGTAGTTTTTTAATGGAATAGAATTAATGTAAGTAAGACATAGACTTTAAGGGGCTTCTACACTAGCATTTACTAAAGCGCATTGTACAGGCAATTTTCCGCTAAAACATAACATTAAGTTAACATTTTTAAACATACATACTACTATAGGCAAGAAGTACCTATCTTTTTTGATAATTTTTTTTTTAAAACTTTTATAACGCATATAGGATCTATTTTTGTACAAAAACACATGTTTCTACTACAAACGTACTGTCTTTAAAAATACATCGATTTAAGTTTTTAAATACATTTGAATTCTTCACAACATTTTCAAGGCATCGGTCGTGGCACAATTTTTAAAATTATTTTTAGTTAGTTAATTATTCAATATAAAAAAATGTACAACTTTTTGCAAATTAACTGAAAATAATTTTTAAATTGTGCCACGATCGATGCCTTGAAAATGTTGTGGAGAACTCAAATATTTTTTGAAAACTTAAATCGGAGTATTCTTAGGAACAGTACGTTTGAATTAGAATGAGTGGTTTTCGACCAAAAATAAGCAGGTGTAGAGGCCCCTTAACATAATCCAAAAGTATTGTACAAAGAAAAGTTTTCTCTAAATACTTCTTTAAAACTGTAGATTTATTATATTTTTCTGTTGTTTAATGCACTATTATATTTTTAAATAAAACATCTATACTCGATTTGTTTCAAACTATTGTTATTAATCAAATAATTTCATGTACAACTTCAAGTAAATAAAAAGATTTTTACCTTTAATTGTAAAAAGATAAATTGCTTACAAATAGTCATTATAATTAATTTAATAATAAATTAAGAAAATCGTGCAATAGCATTAGTTTAGTTTTGTTTAATACGAAATTATTAAGTTATACAGTAGGTCTTAAAACTTTTTTAGGCTTTTAAGAGTTGTATAAAACGAAATATAATTGAATACAGTAATGTAATTAAAACTAAGAAAATTATAAAGAATGTGTATTTACAGAATTTGCCTGAACTAAAATATTTCAAAGCTTTAACAAAAACCAGTGATTTTTATACTGAACGTATGAAATTAAAAAGTTATTGAGTAAATTAATTGAATGAAATTCCGCATGACTTTTTATTCATATTCAAAACCAACCAAAATACAGATAAACTCCGGTAAGTCCTTAAAAAAGTATAAGGAACTTTTATTTCACCGAAATGGTTTCTTTTGTTTTTTTAATACTTTATTTATAATAATTAAAAACGAAAAAATACATTTCCTGGTAAAATACAAACGTTATAATAAATAAAATAATTATGATACCTAATATTTTTTAAAATATTACTTTAGTAAATATATTAGCGTTAGATTTTATTCAGACGTTTTAATTGCTTTTGGAACCCCTTTACAAAATTAGTATAAATAATAAATAAATTGTTTTCCACTCAGAAGTTTACATTTTTTTTACGCTTTTACGGTTAACAATGGTGTCTTCGTTAGCCGCCGAACTGAGCAATAGGATTTAGAGGATTTTGATGCTGACGTTATCTAATTTGCCACGAGGGACTTTTTTTGGTAAAATATAGTGGTCGTAAAAAACAGGTTGTATTTTAATGAAATGTAGACACGGGTGTTATATAGATTTGTTTCAAACTACAATTCAAATTGATATTGATTAAAAATTGCATTATCCGTACTGAAACCCACACAATCTGTACCTATAAATACTATTTATACTTTTATAAGTATATTATTAAAAATAAACAATATTTTAATTGTTTTATCGGATATTCCCTTAAAAATATTAAGTGAATCTATAATATAGTATATAGTTATAATTTTTAGTTACATAATATATTATTATAACAACAGTAATAAAAAAATATAGTATTCGTGAAACACCCTTTACGTTATGTTAACTAGCGTGTAGTTGTTTAAGTTTGTTAAGTACATAGTAATATACTTGGAATTAAAGGAGTTAAACAAAAATTATATTTTATTCTTGAAGAAAAAAACATTAACGAATTAATGCTAATTGATAATTTTTCAATTAGTTTTTATTTCAAATCAATCTATGTAAAGGTTTTAAAAAAACATTTGTTTTGAATTAAAGGCTTATCTGGTTGTAAAATAATAGTTATCAATCATTATATTAAATTGTACATTTACGGAATGGCAAGATTTATGTAAGCTAACTGTGATTAACAAGTCTTTAATTATTATATTATTGTATTAGTCGTAGTGAAATATTTCTTTATCATTATTACTATACAACTTGTGTTAATTCTTATCTTGTCTAAATTCACTCAACACCAAAGTCCAACAGTAATATTATTTAAAATTAGATTGCAATGGTAAAGTCCAGTGTTCATAGATAAAAATACAAATATCGATAAAAGCACTATACCTAATGACAAAATAATATGCTTAAAAATTAATTTATAATGATGGGTGAGTACGATTAGTTTTTATATAGCAGCTCAGTTTAATTTTAAGTTGATTGATGTTTAGTATGACTTTTAGCAATGTTCTCAACTTAACTTATTTACACTTCTGAATTTTGGATTTAGAAATAAGTCGATATTTGATAAAATTATACTCGCTAATAAAATGTAAATTACATATTATATATTATTGGTTGTTACCTTTGTTAAATGTTTGAATAGCATCTGTAGGCAACCACTGTCGCCATAAATATCCCAATTCGGTATATCCAATTTGCTGACCAAGTAGAGCACCAGGGTCATCATGCCCTAAAACCGGGAAGACAAATTGGCTACTGAAGAAATGGCTGAGTAGATTGGTAACGTTCTGAATAGCTATCACTCGAGCTGCTGCATCTCTTACATCCAGTGATACAGAATCTCTGAAAATATAATAACTATATTATTTTTCAATATACGATTAATTTTTAACAGCCATTTTATCAAGAGCGTAAAAGACAACATGACAATACAAACGTAGAACATTTAAAAAAAAGATTTTATGCAGAAAATGTATCTAATAAAGGCAGCAATAAGTATCTAAACATTTTGTTTATAAAAAAAAATTGTTAAATAATAATAATTATATTACTTTAATTATTTGGTTGATACTAATTTGTTCTCGTATATAAAAAAAGGTAAGTTATACATATGCATTATTTGTACATGCATGTCAATAGTTTTTAATTTAATTTATAAGTGTATAAATTATGTTGAATAATTGTTATGTCTTCTCTTCGTCTTTATCTTTGCATTACACTCCCAACTACACGGTATCGGCCACCCCAGTCCTACACCTCCACAGAGCTCGATCTTCTGCATCAAGTTCAATCTCCTCAGCTATCAATATCCATTCCATCTATCCATCTTGTCTTCGATCTTCTTCTTTTTCCCTCTACATTAATCTTCATAACACCTCTCACTGCTGTTAAATATTTTTTATGCATATACGTAAAATTTAATACAAAAATATTAATCGATAATAATTATTTATTTCTGTGAAAAATATTTTATTTATATTACCACATTTTTAAAATTATCATCTTCTTTGATCCTAAATTTGTTAAATGTTTGTGATTTTTTATTTTTTAATATTTACAATTTACATATATTATTGCGCATTGGGATGGTCGTTGAGAAGTCGATTTTCGAATTTTATAGGATTTTAGATTTATAGGATAACATAGGATTTCGACAATTGTGCACAATCAAAACATTTTTTCTACTCGTTAGATTGAGCTGAAGTTTTGATGGTATTATAGCTTGAGGTATACATTTTTGTGATTCGTCCATTACTATCATAGACAATGGATAAAAATTAAAAATAGAACAGTTATGTATATTTTTACTAGTAGTTGTCGATATGGCACGTATACCGACGGATGATTAGACAAACCACCGCATTGTTAAAACAAAATCAGAACTTTCTAAAACGTGAAAGGTATTTATTCCGTATTGTACACTATACATTTTATCCAAAGCGTTATCATTGTTGTATTGACGTGCATTACGTTGTGCACGGTCAGCTGTCAAGCAGGGAATCTGTTTCGACCAAACTCTGAAGATGGTGCCAAACATTTTAAGTCTTATACCAAAAGAGGAACAGGATAAAACAATGTTAATAATACTAGAAATAAATTGAGAAATATGGTAAGGAAGCACTCAGAAGAGATGAAATGTTATGTACATGTCATATATTCGTAATAATGTTTCTTTGGAGAGAATACCTAAATTATTAGAGTTCATTGAAATTATTACAAATCAAACTCGAATGGCAGCCGAAAGTATTTAAATTTTTGTTTTTGATTACGAATTGTTATTAAATGTAAAATGTAGAATGATCTTATGTATTATACGTATTTATGTCACTAATGCATATAACACTCATATGCTATTTATTTATGTTAGTATTTGTCCTTTTTTGCAGATACTATTCACGCTTTACTGTACTTGACATAGTAGCTTGGAATAAGCAATAGTGGATACAGTTATCCTATAAATGTATTTTTTTTTTGTCTCGTGTAATTGTATTACATTTTTACACAGGAAAACATAAATTGTTGACAAGTAAGATAACATAACTAATTTACAAAAGAAAATCAGCAGGACGTGTTCTAAAAATGAAGTTTACAAAAAATTGTTTGGTCTGATTGCCTTCTGAACAACTAGGTACATAAATAAAGCAAATGTGTGCCCAATTATTATTGTAATAACAAATTAAGTTATTAAAGACATTGATTAAATGTACATAGATAGACCACGGAGTGAAATTTTATAGATAGCGAATAGATCATAAAAATGTTTGACTTTAACAGCGTCGTGTTAAAATAGCGTTACTAAAATACCATACATCATGGTCTATATATGCTTGAACTAGGGCCGTTGGTACAAACAATTTTTTGCCATCGATTTCGTATTGTTTTTATTTGGAATAATAGTAATGCTAGAAGTATACAGAACTGCAACATACGAAAATAATCAAGAATTTTGTTACGATTAATTATCACAGCACTTAGAAGCTATTACGTTTTATCGTTTGGTACTGTTTAATGTTTATTTTAGAAACACCGTGTGTTCGTGAAAAGCTAATTTATTGTCAGTGAACACAAACGTCGCGGGATATTTAGATATAAATTTACGAAAATCGTCAGTGCCTTATAATAAATCGTGCCGTCGTAAATCAGATATAAGGAAATCCCCGATCGTCTTCGAAGGGTTAAAAATATATTAATATATTACCCTTTAATTAACGGTTTGTCGTTTTAGCGAGGCGCACTCAATGGGTGCCCGGTTGTTGTGCGGATGATCGCTTGTTTTTGGCATTGTCCACATCTGTCAAATGGGCGGCAAAAGGGAACGCACGTTAAATATATATATGGCTGACTTTCGGTTCGATGAACAAAACTAGGGTTTCAATTGCTCGGTAAACCACGGCCGAATCGCATGTACTTAAATGCGTGTATTCGGTCATCGCCTACCGAGGGTTATCACTATTGCTGGCCGGTTCAACGGTTGTGACTTGTGTGTGTGTGTGTGTGTGCTTAAAAAAACAATGTAAGCGGTACGCACTTTACTGTTGTACATACGGCAAATAAATAACCGTGGAGTCCGCGGGTCTCACGAATAACTTATGCAAATGTATGCAAACAACCACGTGGAGTTGTAAGGTGAGAGCCGTCCGTAGACGCCCATCTGCGTGACCGCTGTTGTTTGATCGCGATAAAGACGATGATGTTATATCAGGTCTCTTCTTTCCTTGTCCGCCTACCTCTAGTACCGTGTCCAACTAATTGAAAATGGATATGGGACGGTTGAACGAGAACGACAAGTTGAATGAAAACGCTAACTTCCTTTGCATGTACTAAGACAACCGTATGAGATTCGGTAACGCATTATTCATTTTTGACAACAGGCCCGGTGCAATTGCCCGAGGGGTACTGTGAGAACAATGTAAATATCTTGTGTAAAAATCACAATTTAATGTAATCTAAATTATTTATTGTGTGCGATATTATTGTTAATAAAAAAATTCCTTTCTTATAACTGGAACTACTTTTTTTGTGTTCATTTTTTTTCTCAAGCTTGAATAATTACCAAATTATTCAAATCAGATTGAAGATACATGATATATTATAGATATACAAGAGAGATTTTGAAGTTTTGTCTAAGTGATCAATATAATAAATTACGATAAATAAATTGATACCGGTTACAGAAATCATTAACATGATAGTGATAATAAGCTTATTGAATATCAACTGATTTTACCATAAGGAATTACAAATTTGTCTTTTATAAGACTAATATTATTGTATTTGTTTTCATGGGTTTAAAATATCATCGGTCTAGGGTTAGTTTACTCGAAAGGGTGAGACTTTCTATGAGCTTAAATGGAATTCAGAACAAAGAAGTTTTAAGCTGGCTTTATACTTTAGCGGTTTGTATAAAACTATTATCTCTCTATAGATGATACCACGTTACAATATTTTTTATGTTAAAAGTTGTATTATTTTGAAGATGATTATCTATCTATAGTACATATTGGTTTTTATTATTAACTAATATTATTGTATCTAATATTTTTAAGTTTAACTTCTGATCTATAATTTAGTGTTATATTAGTTAAAAGACTATGTGTTACCATCCTATAGGAAATTTACACATAAGTATGAAATACATTTATCTATTTACAATAAATACTATTATAAATAATAATATAAACTTAATTGTACAAGCATTAACCTAAAAATTGTTAACTCAAAAATATAGTTATTTATTTTCTGAAGTTTCCAATTAAAATTATTATAATACGGGAGTTTTCTAATTTATAAATCGGTATACTCCCTTTGATTCGGTTCACTAGTATTAAATCCGGATTTCCTGGATTACATTACTTACTTTATTTTTTAAAATTATTTTTATATACCACGCATCTCTGAATATATTGAATTGAACAGCATTTCTTTACTATAAGCCCAATATTCTGATGGAAATTCAATTTCCGTCTTGGCACACAATACGTCATCTGTTTTATTATTAGTACCGGATGATTGACATCAATGTAGGAAGGTACACTCAACATAAGATTTATTTTTGAATTTATAACTAAGTATATTTTTTAAATCCAGTTTTCCTGTGCCGTCTGAATAAATGATTGCCATTTTTTTGCTAAAACTTTATGAAACATTGAGCAAATATTGTATGAAAACAAACTAGGTATCTAACAAATACCAAAGCGAATGAATAAAATATTTGTCAAGAAAAAAAGAGCTTCTTTAATAATTCAACTCTTTTTGTATAATAACTAATCAAATATTTGTTAATAAAATACGAGTATACGTTTTTACTTATGTTTTAGCTAGGACAAGTGAAATAGGGTGTGTGCAAACATAATAGGCCCTAAATATATAAGCTTTTAAGACTAGGTAGAGTAAACTAGTTAGGAGACTCAAGACAAAACGAATAAAAAAATTCAAGAAAAATTAGATGTTAATCTTAATCTACATAGTTTGCCGAAAGTCCAAAAGAAGATCTAAAACATAGCACTATCAGAACATAAGTGTAGTATCTCAAAAATTGTCAATTTTCAGTTACACCTAAATTCGTATGGAAAAATAACGTTCTCAAAAATAAACCAACATATAAAAAAAACCTAAAAAAAAAAAGTTAAAAATTAAAAAAAATGTTTTCTTCGTCAACAAAAAACATTTACTAATATAACATTTATTAATAAAAAAAAAGTAAATAATATGTAGTTTCTTAGCCAGAAGCTTGAGCATATAAAATAAAAATAATAAAAATTCTATTAACTATTAACTTATACTATTAATATAAAATGATTCATCTACAGTCGGTTTGGGTCGAGTAAACTACATTTTAATTA